AAATTTTTTTAATATAATACAAATGATTAAAAATTTCAAATTTAATAAGATAAAAAACTAAATATATATTTTAGCCTAATTTGATGAGCCAAATAAAATTTCCTAACAAAACTTACAATAACAGAAACTCTTGTCTAGTTCTCAAGTGTGAACCCTCGATGTGTTAACCATCCTATATAACAGTTTTAGTTTTGGCATTAGATGTTAAAATCGCAAACTATTATCAATTACTGTATAATTTTTGTAGAAGCGTTTTCAAAAGTATTCTATTGTTTGAATGGTAAAATATAACTTATTAGAATTAAGAGTACTCTCTAATAATCATAGAAACCTTTCTATTTGATAACATTATTGTTTACTTCTATTTTTACAAATTAATTAGGAGTCATTTATTCCATTTACTCTAAATTTAAAGAGTTAAAATGTGCTACTAACAACTATCATGTGGTAATTTTATTAACTGAGTCAAATTCAATGATTGATTTTTCTTCATAATCAATGAGAATGTTTATTACCACATCATTGACAAAGTAGCTCAATGGTTGCGTACTTCTAGGAGCATAATCGATAATATTAACGAATTAATCAATTTGTTATAGATTATATGTTGCCATTAGTTTTTATGATACTACTAGCACAACTCAATCATGTTATCAAGGTGTTATAAATATCCGATGATAACATCAAGCAAACTAAACTTGCCTCTCACACAATATGTCTAGCACCATCTATACTTCAGTTTTCACAAGTATGTTTTAATATAGATCTAACTTTCTTAAATAACTTTCCTAATTTAGTTCTCAACTCTAAGCTACCACTAACTTTAACTTTAGTTTTTGATATTTCGTTTTAAACATCTCCATTGATGTATTTGATTTCCTACAATTTAATTTACTATGCTTTACCCTAAATTCATCTTGTTAGCTTCCTTTAAGTTTGGTTTTATGCATCAGCATTTATTTTATTCTTTATGCTTTTATGCTTTCACGACGGCATTACACTTCCTCCTTGTAGTTTAGTTTTTCTACCATACACTCTCTTTCTTCTCTTTTCCTCTATTTTTCTCTTTTATTTTGATAAATAAACTAACATTTTAACCTTAATTGTAGGAAGTCTCTAATGTTCTTTTAGGGTAATTATTTATAAATCTTTATGTAGGAATACACCTTCATTTCTATGATAATTGTTTGACCAACATGCATCCTATAATTCATTTAATTGATGCTCTTCTATCAATTGGTAGTTGAGTTCTGCGTTTGGAAGTATAATGGTTATTAAGAATCCTTTTTTTTCATTTTGAGTAAAGTAAGTGTCACTCTTTTGTGGATCTATTTATCATGTGGCGAAAAGAGAGATATTAGAGGCAACAATTAAAATAAATATTTTTAAGTCTAAACTACAAACATCAAATATTTAAATTCAAAGTTTTACAGAAAAATCACATTCAAATAAACCAAAGGGATGTAATTATTGTCCTCATAAAAATGGTTAAGATTACTAAAATTGAGTTTATTTATTAAATTGTATATGAAAATATCAATTGACAACTAATTTTAAATTATTAACTAATAAATATTAATTATTTTATCAGTTATTAATTAATAATTATAATTAATAATTATTTTTATTAATTAAATTAAATAAAATAAGTATTTAAAAAATGCTTCAAATATAATTTTTTATACTAGTCTTTTAGACAAATTTATTTATCATTTAAATAACTAATTTTTTATTTATTTAATACATATAATATTAAATATATATTAATTTAATAATATGTAAAAATTTTATAAAAATAATAAAAAAATCTTTATATAATTATCTTTAATATTTTTTTAAAATAATATTTTATAATTTTAATAATTATAACACTATTTTTATTAATGACCATAAACGTTCCAAACAAACAGGCCTTCATTGTTGAGCGTTCGGTGCTGGAAAACCTTGAATCTTTGGGGGTAGTTGAAAGATACACAAAACTCACGGGACAAGCAGGTCAATTAAATGTGCTGCCAGCTACCATGATTGCCTTGCCCATTGCGGCATTGATTATCATCAATTAATGTCCTGAGTTAAAAATTAAAAGAGTTCAAAAAATCGGCCCACCCCCCCTGCCCTAAACGACATTGACATTAATTGAACCCCACTCAGGGGTGGCTACCCGCGTGCCGGTCACTTTCCCCTTCCACATTTATTGCCCTTGCCCTTGTACTAAACTCCACCACGCGGCAGTCAAAAGGACATGTCACTTCGCCAAGAAAAATCACATTTAATGTCAGATGTTGACATGGCGTCTCAAATAATTCACAATTACCTTCGTTAAGTACATTCCATTTTGATCGTACTTTAGGAGGTTGACTCGCTGACTCTCAATCCATTAAGGGCAGAATTTCCAATTTAAACATCTTAAATTCAAACCATACTACTAGTTGAGTGGTGGGAGATTTGAAAAGTATTACCTAACGTATTAATAATAATATTATAATTATACTCATGAATAAGTAGATGAGTTGGCATGAGATTTTTTTAATTTAATCAAAAATTTTAATTTAAAGTATTAAAAATGCAATTCTATTAAAACTCATGAAGAAAAGTTTTGTCGTTAGTTTGATTTTACTCCACTCAAATTTGAATTAGTCAGTGACCTAATAGGCTTTCAAATATCATATGGTTCATACAAATAAAAAATATAATTATAATTTTAATATTATGTAAAATTATATATACTTATATGTGATATTTAATAAAATATAATGTAGTGTTAAATATATAAATATATATAACAGGGGTTAATTTAATTTTTAGTCTATTAACTATCACCTTGATTTCATTTTAGTGTAGAAACTATATTTTATTTCTAAGTGGTCTATTAACTTTTAGATTCATTTCAATTTCGTCTACTTGATCAAAGATAACGAAAATCTGTTAGAGAACAATTAGTCCTCTAACTATATTTTTTTTATCTTTTAGTCCTTAAATTTATATTTGTTATAAAAATAGTTTTTTTACTTAAAATTATTATTTATAGGCTCTGATACCAAAATTTTATACGGGTTTTCCTATTTCTTTAATTTGGTATCAGATCTTGAAAGTTAATAGACTACTTAGAAATAATAATTTTAAGTATAAAAATTTGGTATTAGAGCCTAAAAAAAATAATTTTAAGTATAAAAGCTATTTTTATAACAAATAAAAATTTAAAGACTAAAAGATAAAAAAAATATAGTTAGAGGACTAACTGTTCTCGAATAGGAAGTTTTCTGTTATCTTTGACCAAGTAGACAAAATTGAAATGAATATGAAAGTTAATAGACCACTTAGAAATAAAACATAGTTTCTAGATTGAAATGAAATCAAGGTGATAGTTAATAGACTAAAAATTGAATTAAGCCTATATAATAGTATTAATAAATTATTAAATTAAAAAATTAATTATATAAAAAAATTATTATAAATTTATAATATTATGTAAAATTATAATTATAATATTTTTAAAATGTTAATTAAAGTCCTACAATAATAATTTTAAAAATATTAATTTTGTTTTATTTGATTCTCAAAAGCAATCAATAATTAATAAAATAATTCATATTTATTATTTAATAAATTAAAATTAATTTATAAATTAATATATTCAAATATCATAATTAATTATTTTAAAAAATTATAAATTAATAATATATTAATCAAATTAAATAAGTAGTGTGTGACTTTAATAAAATTTTATGTTGCCATAACCATACATATTAAAATTAAAATTCATTGCAACATTAATTGAAATAAATTAAGGAATTTGATACTTTACAATAAAAATTATAAAATTATAAAATAAAAACTTCCAATGAAGTAAAATCTTTAATATTAAAAGATCGATTTTATTTAAAAATTCATATTTTATTATCTAAACTATAAAAACAATTTATTTGTAAACTAAATATTTTATTTTACGGAAAACAAAACATTAAGATTTTTTGGTGTTAAAAATATCAAAATATCTAATCATAATTATTAAATATATACGATAATTTTATCAAATTCATTATATAATTATTATTAGACATTTGATAATTTTAATCCTAAAACGTTCAAATTTTCTCTTTTCACAGTATCTTATTTCATAAATAACATAGATAACAATGTTTCGTGGTGTCGTAGTTTTGTTTTTTTCCTTTCTTTTCAAATTTAAAATTAATGCACCATGTAGTAGTTGCATATGGAGACCTCTTGTTTGAATATTCCAAATCTTATCTTTGAAAGTTTGAATTCATTAGAGCATAATCAATTTAAAAAAAAAAAAAAAAAAAAAAAAAACCTAAATCCATATATTTCACTATACATAAAATCAAGAACAATTTTTTGCATTTCTGCCCCGTAGTCCTGACTTCTATCCTTTTTTTATCGTACACCAACAATCAAAACGCTGCGTTTAGATCAATCCTGGGCTTCTTAGCGGCTGCCTGAACAAAAGAATTGCAGCGGGGACACCTCGGGTTAGCCGACGAGGTCATCACGTAGAGCAAGCAACCAGGGCACGCAGTCGCAAACATTTTCGACGGAGAGGAATAGGAAGACGGTGGAGAAACGGGCAGCCATGGGGGGCGTTTCTTCGACGTTTCTTTCTCTGCTCTCTCCAGGGCGAATTTCACTTTGTCCAGAGTGCAGACGCTCTGGTAATTGGTGGAATTAGTGCTTGAAAGAGAAGATTGCAGCTTTAAGTCCAAGCTTTTTTCATCAAGGAAAAAATTCCTTGGTGGGTAGTTCAAATCTTGAAGCTTTGAATCTGAAAATGAAGAACAGGCGGAAGATGACGATTCTTCTTCTTTCTTGTTCTTGGAGATTAGCGAAGATGGTAATGGAGAATTAGGCGAGTTCTGCAACTGCATATTTGAGAACAATTTTGAAAATAATTAAGGGATTTAAAAGAAGAGAGGAAGCAGGGAAAGATGCATATGGAATACAAAAGGACAGAGCAAAATTCACCTTAAGGTCATCAAAATGGATTTCTCGGTTTTTAGAATTTGACAAGGTTCCCAGCAAGTCCCTGGTTATCAAAATATCTGAATTGCCAGCGGACGATGCGGCGGCGTCTTCACGGCGGCGCTCTAACATCCTGGCCCATGAACTCACATCTGCTGCCATCTTGAGGCTTTCAATTTCTTTTCCTTTTGCCAAAGATGAGAGAAGCACAAAAGATACAGGCTTTTTTGGCCTTTTGAGTTGGGTGAAGAAAAGGGTATGAAACATGGAAATTGGGAGCAATAAATAGAAGTAAGAGGAGATGAGTAAGTAAATACAACCACTAAGAGTCAATCTCAAAGAAAGAAAAAGAGTGAGTGAGAATCAATTATTACAAACCCTGCATAGACGCTCCGATGGATGTGTAAATGTAAATAAATGTGCCTTACCCTCCTACGTGAAGTATACGACACCATCTTCCCACTTGTGATTTTTTTTTTGTTAATGTAATTCGAGGAAAATTCTCATATTAAATGAGTTTCACTTCCCTTTCAGACTGTTTGGATGTCACGTGTCATCTGTTATGTCCCTTAAAAATTAATTTTTTAAAAGATATATTAAAAACACATCTTTTTGGTCTCATGCATTAAATAATTTTTTTTTTATTATTTTTATGATTTTAGACTCAAATTCAGAATTTGATAGAAATATTTACTTACTATAATCTAATTTTTGGAGTTAATAATTTTTGTATATTTTAAAATTAATATCTTTATAGATAGATTTAAAGATACACTCTCATGTCAATTTGATATATTTAAAAAAATTACTAAATTTCACATACTTTTCTTAAAATTTAAATCTTACATTTAACTTTAAAAAATAACATTTATTTATAAATATATCTAATCCTTCAAACTTTTTAAGTTATTAAATGAGTTTCTTTTATTCAACCTTGGCTTGAAATTAACTTAATGTTCTTAATAAATGAACGGAATGAGAAATTTCATTAAGAGTTTGAAGGGAAATGAAAACCTTTTAATTTAGTTGGATAAAAATATTTTTTTATTTTTTTATAGTTTTCTCAAATTAAATGAAAATATAAATGTTTTAATAATTTTAGTTCAAACAGTATATTTTTGTAACAAAATTAAAATTTATTAAACCAACGACATGTTGGTTCGAGTGAAAAGAGTTCGGTTCTCTTTAAATAAAATATCAAATTCAAGTCTTATGAATGAAAAAATAAGTGTAAGGAGAGTTTCTTTCCTAATGAGGTCCAACTTAACTCGATTTCAGATTAATTAGAATTTAATGTGATTATCAGATACCGAAAGATTAATACGAAAAAAATTAAAATTTATCATACTGTTAGATAAATTTTTATCAAAAGAAACGAGTAATTCAATTTGAATTTATTGCTTTCCCCATAAAATTCATATTAATACTATTGAGTAGTGATTTTTAAGTTCAAACTTTATGATGAAATTTTAGGCAGAATTATTTTAATTACTTTCTTTAGTTGAATTTAGTTGTCTTACAAAATAGTCTAATTTAATTATGTTACTTTCTATTTTAATAAACTAATGTTTTAATTTTATCCTTATTTCTAAAGATATAAAAATGTGTTAAATTTTTTTATTTAATTATAAATAATAGTGAAAATAAAAAATTTCTTAATTATAGTAATAAATAAATTTATTAATAATCATAAATAAACAAGATGGAAAAACTAAATTTGCTCGAGGATTATTAATCAAGTGAGTCCATACAAAATTTATAAAATAATTAATAATTATTATAAATTCATCTTAAAATTTTATTTTAAAAATTGATTGATATATTATTCAATACTATTCAATTGTTATAAGATGATGTTATTGTTGCACTCTTAATTATTAATATAATATTTTTTATTTTAATT